GTGATTGTCGTTGATTATACTAGCCTCGTACTTTTAGGGTTTTAATGCTGATACCGAAATTCCATAGAGGAATATAAAGTGTGCTATTTTGAGTTCCGGAAGTTTGGAACCACTTCTTCCTTCTATAGAAATCTATGATTACTGCGGACATTGATTGATCATGGGACACACATTTTGACATCAAAATCCCGTAGAGCCTACATCATAGCTTTTCCTTCGAGTTCGATAGTTTGATAATTTTCATTATGTTGCCCCGCCACGAATTTGGGTAGTTTTGTAGAACCTTAGTGATGAGTGTTCCAGACAATTAAGCACAAATGGGTCGTCACGAAAGACAATACAAACATCATATTAAGGTATGATGTATCGTTAAATATATCTGAGAACACTTTATTCAAATGTAATCGTTAACTAAATGCTTTAAAAAGCAATAAATAGCTTAAAGAAATACATTACTGATATGATATATATTTACAGTTTACAGAGAGGACGCTCTCAGAATCATAATCAAGTTAACACCGAGCTAGAGATCAGATAACTATTGCTTCTTAAAGTTAAGATCATGGTTTGATCTTTGTTAAGTCTATGCAAGATCAGTTCGTGAAGTTAAACAATCACCACCAGCTCCAAATGTAATTATTACTTTATTTTGTTTAGTTAAAAACATTTTTAAGCGGAAAAAAGTTAATATTAAATCATATAAATCAATAATTATACATTATCACTCGGTTTATTTACACACTGTGGCTTTAATTCAAATCACATTTTTCTAAATTACTAGCATTTCTCTTATGACTTTCCTCATTTCTGTAGATACACTTTAGCTATGGACACTGATCAGCTGATTATTCAGATGACTCTGTTTAAATGATAGTGATTAGTGCAAAATGGTGGGGATTCCATGTTTTTTAGTAATTATGCCAACTCTAATACATTTTAAATAACTGTTATACATTCAAGTCATATGATACAATCTACTGCTATACCAACTGATTTCTATCCGTTTATTTATTATGCTAAGCTAATTTACTACAGTTGGTTAAATGTGGATAATTATTGGATATTGACAACCTAATAAAAACACTATTAGTATGCATGAAGGCAAAGTACGACACTATGAATGAGATTAAAGCTTTGCTCAGTGACTAAGTATTTTTAAATGAAGCTAACTGGCTTGTTCAAAGAAATAAACTAAATATTAAGTTTTATATGGAAATTTCGCATAGTACATGAGTTTATCAAATTTTTTATGGGTCCATTCTGTTCTAAATGGTTCAACATTCTGCTAAACAAAACGTGTCCATTTTACTTAGATTTAGTAACCGACTATAGTTTTTTATCTTTATCTTGTCTTCCATTAAAGGTACAATATTAGAAACGGCAAAACAAACGGAAGAAGTTCACTGCATATTGTTATCAGTAATTTTCTTTTCTTTAAGTATTCTACAAGGAATCTTTCGTTAACTGTTCATAATTCTGTGAATCCTAAAATGTATGTTAATTATTGTGGAAGTACCTCCAGAGATTACTTTCATCACATGAGAGATTATTTAAGTAATAAGTTATAGTCCTTACATTTTATTGAAACAGTAAAATGGAGTAAACTAGATATGATTATCGAAACTTGAAGCTTTATGATAGAAGGAACTGTTAGCGTTTTAATAATAAAACAACGTAATGAACTGAAATATCTCATGAATGAACCTTAGTATTAAGTGTGATATATTATTATTATGGGTTATTTTCGAAATGCTTAGCAAGAAGTAAACTGATTGAAGTGGAAGTGACATATAAAAATGAATTTTCCTAATCGTCTGTAATATGTAATCACTTCTTAAAATGGAGTAACCACATGGCTTAATTATATCTGTTGATTATAGTCGTTTAACTTTATCGGACTGTAAATATCTTTTTTTCCAAGCCTTACAAGATCTACTGAAAGAAGAAGCTAGTATGGAGGACAACTGGAAAGGCATCAAGGAAGCATTAACTTCAACGTGTCAAGAGGTTCTGGGCCTAAAGAAACACCATCATAAGGAATGGATCTCTATAGAAACACTGGACAAGATCAAAGAAAGGAAGAACAAGAAGGCAGCAATTAACAACAGCCGAACACGAGCAGAGAAAGTCCAAGCACAAGCTGAATACATAGAAGCAAACAAACAAGTGAAGAGGAGCATTAGAGCCGACAAGAAGAAATACGTGGAAGAACTAGCAACGACGGCAGAAAAAGCTGCTAGAGAAGGAAATATGAAACAGCTTCACGATACAACGAAGAAACTAGCAGGGAAATACAGTAAACCAGAGAGGCCGGTCAAAGACAAAGAAGGCAAGCCAATCACCGAAATTCAACAACAGCGTAACAGATGGGTAGAATACTTCGAGGAACTCCTGAATAGGCCGGCTCCAATGAATCCACCGGACATCGAAGCAGCACACATAGATCTTCCTATAGATGTCAACCCACCAACGACGGAAGAAATTAGAATGGCCGTCAGACAAATCAAGAACGGGAAAGCAGCAGGACCCGACAACATACCAGCTGAAGCACTGAAATCAGACATCGAAGCAACCACAAGCATGCTTACCTTCTATTCAAAAAGATTTGGGAGGAGGAACAAGTGCCGATGGACTGGAAAGAAGGACACCTCGTCAAGATTCCAAAGAAAGGAGATCTGAGCAAATGTGAAAACTACAGAGGCATTACACTACTGTCAATACCAGGGAAAGTCTTCAACAGAGTGTTGCTGAACCGGATGAAGGATGCAGTAGACGCCCAACTTCGAGATCAACAAGCTGGATTCCGTAAGGATCGGTCGTGCACAGACCAAATTGCAACACTACGGATCATCGTCGAACAATCAGTTGAGTGGAACTCATCACTATACATCAACTTCATTGATTATGAAAAGGCATTCGACAGTGTAGATAGGAGGACATTATGGAAACTTCTTCGACACTACGGAGTTCCTGAGAAGATTGTCAACATTATCCGGAACTCATACGACGGACTACAGTGCAAAGTAGTGCATGGAGGACAGCTGACAGATGCATTCCAAGTAAGGACTGGAGTCAGACAAGGCTGTTTACTCTCTCCCTTCCTCTTTCTTCTGGTGGTCGACTGGATTATGAAGACCTCGACATCTGAAGGAAAACACGGAATACAATGGACAACTCAGAATCAATTAGACGATTTGGACTTCGCAGACGACCTAGCCCTCCTATCACGTACACACGAACAGATGCAGATGAAGACAGCCAGTGTAGCAGCAGTCTCTGCATCAGTAGGCCTCAGCATACACAAAGGGAAAACCAAGGTCCTCAAATTCAAGCGGAGAACAGCAATCCAATCACTCTTGATGGCGAAACTCTGGAAGATGTAGAGTCCTTCACATACCTAGGAAGCATCATCGATGAACAAGGAGGTTCAGATGCAGACGTAAAGGCGAGGATCGGCAAAGCAAGGGTCGCATTCCTACAATTGAAGAACATATGGAACTCAAAACAACTTTCAACCAATATCAAAGTGAGAATCTTCAATACGAACGTCAAGGCAGTTCTACTGTATGGAGCTGAAACTTGGAGAACTACAACAACCACATCAAGAAAGTACAAGTATTTATAAATAGCTGTCTACGCAAGATACTCAACATCCATTGGCCGGATACCATCAGCAATAGCCTTCTGTGGGAGAGAACAAACCAACTTCCAGCTGAAGAAGAAATTAGGAAAAGACGATGGAAATGGATAGGACATACATTACGCAAATCGTCAAACTGCATCACGAGGCAAGCCCTAACTTGGAATCCTGAAGGGAAGCGAAAAAGAGGAAGGCCAAAGAACACATTGCGTCGGATAATAGAAGCAGATATGAAAAGGATGAATTACAACTGGACGGAGCTAGAAAGGATTGCCCAGGACAGGGTTGGATGGAGAATGCTGGTGAGTGGCCTATGCTCCTTCACGAGGAGTAACAGGCGTAAGTAAGTAAGTAAGTAAATATCTTTTTACATGATGAATTATTAGTTCGTTGATGTTAAATGCTACTCAGTTGACTTTATACCAATCTCAATATAAATAAATTGTATGAAAATCTCAACATTCATACATCATCTTGATTTATTACTGATGTCAGACAAATCCTAATCTACTGTCTTCATGTTTATATTTGTGCTATTTGATTCACCGATTTTCTGTTGAAGTATTAATATATCACGCATCCGAAACAGTATTTAGGCTATTTCAACTCCTGAAACGAGCATTTTAGACATTCTGCGGTTTCGAGCGAATAGTTGAATTTCCTACATTAAAAAAAGGTTAAAACTAACTTGCGTTATTCATAAAAAATATATAAAACTTGAAAATTACAAAGTGTATTCAAATAAATAAGGTACTGTTTCGATATAAACATCAAATAAGTTGTGTTGTAGACTTCCATAGTAAAACTTCACACTAAATAATCTGTATCAAGGTCGAATACTTCGATAATCGACAATGTTTAACTGACTATCGTGTGAATAAACATTAAAGTCACGGCAAAATACATATCCAAATAGGCAAACAATTTAATACTTTAGAAAATGCACTGGTTTTTCCACACTGTTAAAAAATACAGAATTAAACATATCTAAACACATTAATATGCATTTTCGTATGAGTATACACAATCGTAATGGTTTGTAGAAATAGTAGAACGTGAAATTACAATGGGTGAAAAAATCCAGAAAATCCAAAATAAAAATAAGAGCTAACTACTGAATATTTTAATAGTAGTATAGAAGATTTGCGAAAATTGTAGGATTTAACGAGGATTTCACACGTTATTGTAATATACAGAAATGGGAAAATAAACTAGAAAAAAAATTTTGTGTACATAGAACGAACAAATACACATCGTTGTAACACCGAAATGAAAGGAAACATAAAAAAGACGAATAAGCATCATAAATGCAGGTCCCTAAAGTTTATTCAAGATACAGAGTGTAGTTACAAAGGTATTTATTGGAATACTGAGGCAAATGGAGCCAGGATATATTTAATTCAGAAGTTCTCCTTAGATTTCATTTTTATTTATTGTGATTACCTGTTCAGTATATATTCTTAACTTCGTGGAACAAAAGATGGACCAGGAGCACGTCGAAACAATGCCATTTGATCCACTATCGCCCGTCCAACACTGCGATCTGATGGATTCTTTTTACGTTTCATTAGTCGTCCAGCTGTATTACGACATATACACTGCAACAACAAACACTAAATTAATTCATTTCGTTCAAGGAAGTGAAAAAAATGAAATTATTAGCTGTAAATAACCAATTTGTTGTTGCTTTTTACAAAAAGCATTGAATAATAATTTATCAAACAATTACTAAGATTTAGATACTTATGAAAATACTGGTAAACATGTGTTATTCAGTCAACAATACAATCAATTAGTATGTTTATTTGTTTAAATCTACCAGATCAATTAATTTGCTTTTAAGTCAATCATAGGACTGCCGTGAGTATTATCAATTTATTGTCAGATGCAGCTAAGTGGACAAGTAAGATTTACCTGATTAATTTTGTACCTGTGAATTTTACTTCATTATCATATGATGAAAAGAGTGATGAAAAGAATAGTAAATCACATTTTACATTTTTATAAGCATTAACGAAAATTAACTTAATGTCTACGGAAAACGATGAAGATTTATATAAACAATATAGTTTTATTTTGAAATATTTTGTTGCGTAGACAGTTAAAGTTATTGAGCGAATCTTTTTGAATTGTGTTTTCGTATTTGTCAGCACCGTTGAGTAAAATTTTCCTTTAGCTAACAGGGAAAAGCGATAACATTCTTGTTGTTACAATTCATAATGCTTGAAAGTTAATTTTCAGATTCTCAAAACGGGTTAGAAGCTAGAGCATTAACCTTTCCAGTGTAGACTTTAAACATCTGATGAGATTTGAAGATTGTATCTTTTCCACACCATATATTTTTATGTTTGCATGCAAATAAATCAAATTCATTGATATCGATCAAAATTTTTAATAACTGTATTGTGTAAATAGCTTTATCAATCAAATCTTTATAGTTGTTTATAGTTAGTCCATCGTCTATGAAAAGCGTTGTTCTAGAAATACAAACTATACAGGATATTCAGAAACTCTTGAAATTATGTTTGTATACCAAATATTCATGACACTTAAAAGTTACTTAACGTTTGTCTTTAATGATACTAAAACAGAGCCTAGAACAAAGAACTCATGACACTGATTTACAACAATTAGTGAAATTCAAATAATGTGTTACGTTTAATCTGGTAATTATCATTTTTGACTTTTTAAATCAACAAGCAACTTGCATGTTCTTATCGAGAAAAATATCTAGCGAATGAAATTTTGGGAAATCGCCTTGTTTATCATTGATCTATTTTTAATCACTGAAATTGAAACATTAAATAACTTTATTCATTTCCATTAAGCAACTTCTCCACCTTGAATTATGGCAGTTTTGATAGCAGTTAACGATTATAAAATCGATTTCCGCCTTTACGGTCGAAAATAAGATGAAAACTGATGGAAAAATAAAGCCGTTCTTTGCATGTCTTCGTTTTCGCATAACATAAAGAACAAAAGGTATAATGACATAAAAGATGTAAGATAATCACCACATGATCAGTGAATTCATTCGAATAGATGGGATGAATGGTTAGTTATTTTATAAGAAATATGTTTAATTTAATATAGATTTTCTATAGTTCCAAAATAGTTTTGTGACAGGAAATTGATGTTAGCAGTAAAAAAACCCTTGAACACCAAGAAGGTTTGAATTATGCTTTCTTAATAGTTTGTAACTTCCTACAAATACTTACACAAAACAGCATACAATAGCAATAGCATTCGATCTCTTTAGGCCAACAAATCTATTTACAACTTGTCACAGACCTCAACCGATGCTATCTGTGAGTTACTGACAAAATCCAAACTTTAAGTTTACTCTATTTTTCAAATTAATATTTAATGAGTATCGCCACAGTCATTAGTAAAGTAAGCGTATGAAATGCTTTTGTTAAGTATAATGTTATTTTCTTTGCTTAAACAATCTTTCATGAGATATTAGTGGATCCGGTTGTTTAGTCAATTGACTTAGCTAGAAGTTGAAGTATATGGGGAAAATGGTAACAGAAGTCAGGGAATAAAGTGTAGCAACAGTCCTAAACAATGTAAATCAATTGAACAATAATAAAACAAGGCAACGAGAGACCTTAGTAGATTCGTCTTACAATATTCAGACGCCAACAACAAAATATTGATTTTGAAAAGGTGCATCATTTATTTATATTTCAAGCAAATTAAAAAGGAAGTTTTACTAATACTACATTCAAGTTAACAAAAGTAGGAATATTACATCAAACAATTCAATTTGACATCCTTTGTAATTTATATATCTCAACAATAGTTTTCATGAAAGAAAAATACTCCTCTAAACAAATGCTAAAATTATTGCATTTTAACTGATAAAATGTAAGTGATTGTTTCATACTCTTCAGCAGAAAATCTTTTATTTTTGAAGCATCTAAAAACATAGTTTGGATGTGAACATGTAAGCAAAATTAGTTAAACATCCTTTATGATTGATTACATAAACAACTTAGTTAATAGCAAAACATTTAATCAATTCAAGTAATTTAACGAAAATCAATAAATGCATCGGTGATAATAAAGCAATTAGATTATGCTTTTAAGCATATATTGATGGCATTTGGAAAACGATTGAAATCGGAGAGCATTAGGCAGCTCTGAGAACTCGTAATCCTATTGTGAGTGACATCTATATATGTGTTTCAATTTTTCATGAAAACTACCTTCGAATTAAACATATCCAGCAGAAAGCCGTTGAAAAATGTGTAGCTAATTTTATTCACTAGCAACAATAAGACAAAGACGGTTCATTGATTAAATCATTGAGTTCCAAAAGTGTAATGTAGGGACTAGATTGATCTATTCAGAAATGACCATGTGAACTTGAATTCATTTCTCAGTTAATGATCAAACAGTTTGTATAAATTAACATTATTTCACAACAGTACCATTTAAATCTCTTACATTTAGTGGTATTAGAAAAGTTATTGGTTTTTTAAAGTGAATTATAAGTTTGCCGATCTTAATATTGTTGTGATCTCTCCACATAACCAGATTGATTTGAGTATGGATTTGCTGATACTAAATATTTTTTTTAAAATTCTTTTCATATTTATAAATAAATTTGTAGAGGATTAGTGATGATCTGTTAAATCTTTTCGCGAACAAATTACCTTAAAGAATTGGGACGACAAAGCTATAAGACAATATAGAGAAACCTTTGATTATATTCGTTACTTGGTTTAGGATTTCTACTTCACTAACTCACCTGTTATTCACTGAATCACCAGTAAAATGATTTCTTTGTAGGTCTTTCATAAAAAGTAGTTTATTCACGTGTTATTTGAATTGCACGTTTAAAAGTGAGTACTTGATTAGTTTAATATTGTCATTTTCACTGTACGATGACTTAAAGTTTTGAGCAACCTAAGTTTTGTACAAAGATATTTTGTCACTTATTATATGATCAAAGATATAAATCATTCATGTTTTTATTTTATTTTAAAACTTTGTAATGGTTCTGTCGATTCTGACCGATATGCTTTTAAAGAGTATTTTTCACTCAGTCAACATCCAACCATTGAAATTCAGACTCAAACATTCTCCACATACTTTGATCTGACAAATCTATACAGTTTAAAGGTGGTAATTCAAATGTCTGCTCATTTACTGTGTTAGATGAAATCAGTCTTAATCATTGAGCTTTAATTATGGAATATCGAAGACCTATTTTCCGTTGCAGTAAATGAGAAAGTTACATACCTTAGGCTAAAACTTTTATCCATTGTATGATCTGACTTAAGCTATTGAAAAAACAAACAATTTTTTTATGTTAAGGGTGGTTTGAGTGTGTGACATTACATGTTTAATGATTAAGTCAAGTCATACGGCTTTTTTTTGCATATATCATTTCATGTAGACTTCCAAAAGTGAATGTTTCGGAAGGAATAATCAAATATCGTCTACTAATACTCCAGAAGATATACTAGACAATGTATTGTGAACAGAAGCGAGATTTATGACAATACAGTAAATAGGCATTTGATAGATAAAAAAATATTAGGTAAACATTTTTTAACACAAAAAAGCTAACAAAAGAAGAATATATGGTTATTTCCATTTCGTAAAATAGCCAATAATTAAAAGCTTTTAGCATGAATAATATAGACAGTATGAAAGTTTCATTATACTTCTGACTTCATTTCACTATTTAACTATTTATGTTTGATGATCAGAATTCATGGAATGAATTCATGAGTCGATGTAAGCTAGATCACCACTGAAGACCTGGATACACTGGGAGGCCGTTTCGTCCTAGTATGGGGCTCCTCAGCAGTGTGCATTCACGAGGGATTTCAACCCAGGACCTTCGGTATTACGCGGGACCGGGACGTGCACTGCTGGGAAGTCCTATACTGGGACGAAACCGCCGTTCAGTGCTTCCAGGTCTTCAGTGGTGGTCTAGCTTACATTGACTCATGAATTCAACTATTAAAAATATTTGCTTTTAATCATATTTTTGAATTGATAAACTAATATAATTAAATTATCCTCATATTTTACTATTTTTCAACCACTTTAATGATCTTACATTTTCACTTACCACTCGATTTTTCCAACATCTGCAAATGTAACTCAAGGTTAAAACTAACACTACTTTGTGTTTTGAGAATTTTCCAAACATTTTATGAAATTTGTTATAATCGATTTTAAGTTTTATAATTTGTCACTTATAGTTTTCCCTGTTTTAAACTGTTGGACAACATGAATTGAAGTAGTTTGGTTAAACGTGCCATATGTCACCATCGTACATTCAATATTTATTCTAGGTAATAAAAATCAATAAAATAATTCATAGTTTCTTCTCATTTCCAAATATGAGATATGGGATAGACCGTTTTCGTACATTTGAACAGTGTAGCTAAGTGTTAACTATTCTTAAATCTAGATTGACAGATTCATTAATTCCCAGTGAACAGATGTTAAAAATCACAATAAGTTGTCACATAATATGATTGCACATTTATATTCAAAATAAATATGATTAAATCCATTTAAAAGTGAAGGATTGTGAGATCCTTATTTGATTGGTTGATCACAACTTGAAAAATTACGAACTGATTTCGATACTTATATTTTGTTTATCATTTAAATTTCATCCATATCTTTCTTATCAGTGTTATATTAAACCTTATCCTGTACTTAAATTAAGGACTGCAAATTTGTAATAAAATGACCGATTTCTATGTTTTCTATTTGTGGTACTTTTTTGCCACTGTAGAATACTCAAAGTTTACTGTTTATCTATTTAAAAAAGTCTGTAATTTGAATACAGAGGTGTCTTGAGTCAATTCTTATTTAATCAAGAATGTTTCTGAGAAAGAAGATACTTTATTAGTCAATTTGTTTAAACCAAAGAACATAACTAGTTGTCAATATATTTTATGAAAATCAGTATTTGTAATTCATGCATATCAGCCTGTCAGTAGCAACGTGGAACTTTGTACATATGTACATCAGTTCAAGTTTTCATATCCTATTAGCAGAGCGTTATGAAATTGTCAAAAGAAATTCCAGAGTAGTAAAAGCAGCAACATCATTAGCAATAATACTAAAGGATTAGGCATCAGAGATGCAACTCAGGGAAATATAAACTAGAGAAATAAAGAATTTATGGGGAATTTAGAAATTTAAGATCTCAGGGGAGACAGGGAGTGAATGCACTTTTATCACTGCAAATGATTTTGTGTCATGTCACCCAACGTCTCTAAACACTAGTTACGATGATCATCTATACATTACTGATCAGGTTACAAACATATATATATATATATAATTAGTATTGTTGCATATTTAAATAATTAAAACAAATAACACACAGTTTACCGATCCACTTATAGTTTTAATTTAAAACAGTCGCTTAAAACATTTTAAGCTTCCATTATTATTTGATTCAGAATCTTCCTATATGGTTCAATAATATGTAATTGTGAAATCTGTTGGTTTTCAACTGAGTTTAGTTTAGGTATTGATGATATTAGTATAAAGTGAACAGCATAATGTTACATAATTACTTTTATTATATTAAATGAACGGTAATAATTTCAACTGCTCTATGGAAAATGTAGTTTGTACCTGATTGAATAATCCCTTGGATTCATAACATCTTATTGGATATATATTGTTGATATTTATGTGTCAACTGAAAAATGTAACCTTTTTATTTCTATAAAAAAAAACTTTGTTTTGGTCTCAAGTGAGTTCTTTAATTGTGACCATGCATACTTCCTCAGGTTTGAATTTTTAAGTTGGAGAAGAATTCATTTCATGAAAATTACAATTGTACTTTGTTGTTAAGTGCCAACTGCAAGATCGAATGATTCTTATCGATTAAATTGAATTATTTTATAGTAAGAATTGACTAAAATTACTTTATTTATTATAATTTAAATTTAATATTAATGTATAATCACTTTTATAAAATAGTTGTAACCGACAGATTAGTACATACAATTCAACGTGATTATTAAATTTCATTCAATTATTTAATTAATTATGGAACTTAAAAATTATATTACATATTCTATATATAACTAAATTATATGAATTCACTTACCGATAATAATGTAAAAAAGCACATTGTAGAAAAATTCACCTAGATGTGAAATTAAACTGCCTTGAAAATTTGTCGTCTATCAGAGGAGGTAGTATTTTTCTTTTTTTGTTTTTTTTTTGAATTCGAAAAAAGAGTAACAAATCAAATAGTTTTACAAATAACCCAAATGATTATGAATAATATCCTGTACTATTTACAGACAAGAGAAGTTTATATTCGGCATTTATACATATGTTTATTCCTATGCATACCGTCATACATTTATATATATATATATATATATATATATATATATATATATATATATATATATATATACATATAGATGTACATACACTTGTGTTTGTGTTTGATGTGTACTCATCTTTTAATATACACGTGTCCACCTAAATACCCCAATACTAAACAAGGTCGACAATATGAATGTGTTAAATCATGGTTCTTTGAGTTGGTCTATGATAAAATCTACTTGTTTATTTTTTTAAATTTATTTGCACCAACTATGGTGTTTCTTAATTCTCATCAATATTGTTATTGTTGCAATGATTATCAGCCTTATTATTATTATTATTATTATTATTATTATTATTAGTACTATAATCGAAATGCATTAACATACTATTGGGTAAAAATTATTATTCAATCATTTACTCATAAATGAAGACATACTCTGTGTAGCCTGTCAATATAAAAGTTAGTTTTCTTTTTTAAATGACATCTATATTCTAGCTTATAAACAAATGTATTTTTAAGGATGTGCATAAGTGTGCTCATTTCTGTCTGTCTATCTATCGGTCAACTATATATATATATATATATATATATATACCTGTAATACAAGCACATATACATACGGAAATTTATCAAAAAAAAAGAAAGAAAAACTGATCTCAACAATTAATCAACGGTATCATTTTAAGAGTGTTTGTTGTGAAGATTATTTATTGCGAAGTGTCATTTCAAAATGACTGTCTTCAGTTTCCCTCGATGAAACAGTATTACATACATAATAGATGTAAAAGTAAATGTTTGTTAACTGATATTAGTGAATAGAATTGAGTATTGAATTTTGTTTAATGTTAAGTGTACCTCTTTGTACTCTAGGTATTGCTGAATTTCGGTATTATTTTATTTATTTATTTGAACACATAAATTTTGGTACAAAGGGGAACCGATTTCATATACTCCACACAAGTCGTTTGGTTTGTATGTGGGTTGTGATACTGCCGGGTGAACAAACTGAAACAGGTGGTTTTCTTTCGGGACCACACATGGAGCCTTCGACCTGAGGGTCTGATCCACAAGACAGCGGAGCAACGTCAGCAGACGCAGTTCCATGTTAGCTGGTGATTTTTGATCTGTTGAATAGATTTTGAAAACCTATTACAGGTAAATACCAAGAAGGAATAATGATGAACAGTTTGTCAGTGGACTATTGTTAATCGACAGAATTCGATCAGCGCTAAAGACTGGAGCAATGCTAAAGTAATCAGTCATTGTAAAATTACTGATTTTTATGGGTGAGCAGTAGCAGGAGGACTAGTTTAACGGGACATTTCCTAAGAAGATGGCAGACTGCATTTTCTGATGTCACCAGTTTATTATTAATGTTTTCATGATCTTTTTTGATAACATTATCATCAGGATAAACTTTGCAAGTAATCTGTAACATCACCGATTGTGATGTTGGATGGTAAGGTTTTGAACTGTGGTTGGATTATTAGTTCCCTCAACGGTGACAGTACGCATTACCGATCAGTGACAATTCGCAAACCATCTACGTACAAGAATTCCTGCTCATTTTATCAACCTGCCTTACATTAAAACAATCATTTTTATCACTGGAAGGGTACGAATTTAATATAAAGAAATATTCTTTACATTGATTTGCTTAATCGTGTCAATATTTTTATGTCTTTTAGAACTCATGCCGTGATCAACATAGTGTGGTTATACTTTCCGCTTTTGATCTAATGTAGTTTGGATGACATAAGATGTTTGGATTAAAATAATTATTCATATTCATTGTCGGACTATCTTATCTCATTGTTCAGTTTAATATAAGGTCTTCTTCTACCAAGAACGTAGGTTAGGGACGGTTATCAGTTGTATGTCTATTTTGTTTTCAATAATGAGGTATGCTATTGACACAATGTGTAATTGAGTTCGATGCTATATTTGTATCTTCATGGATCATATGTTATCAAAAGAAGCTACTCCTTAGTAAGTAAATAGTGTATTCAGTAGAGCCCTTCAAAGGGTTGCTTGTGACTACCATGATCTATCACATATGATTTTTTTACTCTTTGTGTAAATAAAAAAACTTTTCGCTCATGAACTATCTGTATTATGAATATTCCTTCAAACTAATAACAGTCATATAGAAGCATAAATATCCCTTCCAATTTATATGGGAATGCATTCAGTGTTAGCTAGACTAAGTTATGAAGTTTGCAAACTACTAATTCAAATACACTGATTCTATCAAACTTTCATTTTAATTAGAATTCAATCGGTAAACAAAAGTGTTTTACAGGGTTCTAGGAAGATAGTATTGTTAACACGCACAAATATATTTCGATTAGTGTACTGACCAACTTTAGGAAAGGTAATTTGATTAATGGAGTTCTCTAAATGCAAACAAATTCAAGGTAATTAAAAATAGTCCAATACAAACTGATAAACTAACACTACCAGCTCAAGATTCCTAGTCAAATGTCGTGGCAGAATCTTGTCATACCACTCTATAGGCTAATCCAAATGGTTAGCTTAATAGTCGTATGACTATATATCTTTATCTCAGTTGAAATAAATTGCCTTCTCAAGCCTTATTTTCTTTGTTCACCTTCGGATAGCAGCACAACCCTATTCTTCTATATCTTAGTTACTAATAGACCTCGGGTTTACATTACTAAGGAGCTTCAAAAACCAGGCTGAGGTTCAGATCTTTTTGCCGACTACTTTCAACTATCAAACGTCAGTATTTAAGTTATTTATGTAATTGACATTCTATCACTTTGTTGTTAAATTCACGTATAGTTGAATATATTGTTTTAATTTGTGCATTTAAAAGATGAGTGTATATATATATATATATATATATATATATATATATATATATTCATGAGATAAAAATCAATTAGCCTGGTAATTAGAATCTAAAATGATAGCTACAAAATATATACTTTAGTTGGTTCTCCTAAACATTCATCCTTTTTAAGATTTCTTCTATTCAAGTTCAAAACATTATTTTACTCATTTAATGACATTCAAATAACTGCATACCATAGATATACACATCAACCTACATCAACAATAATAATCACAACATGTATCTATCTGTTATTTAGGTTAATGATACTTTATTACGTAAATAAATGCGTGTATTGATGATTCATCAACAATGAGAAATTTATTTGAAAAAAGAAACTATGTATCCGAGACTATACTATTGCAAATTTTTAAATTTGTTTATTTACTAGGCAAGTTCTGAATGATATGCATATTATTGTAATTCATATGAGTAGTTAGCTGTATGGTATTTGTTTTCTCTTATTACATTTTTATTGTCTAACATTTTTCTTATTCCTGTCAAATGAATTTTTGTCATCAATTTTACATACTTTAGATTAGTATGCTTAGTGAGATCTCCTTATCCTATTTAAATTACTATTGATAATAATTCAGCTTAACTGAATTGTATTAAAATAGTTGAGATCAGTTAGTTATTGATCTAATTGATTATTGACAGCTACTAGGTCAATTTGGAATAATAATGAAATAATTATGGTATTTGAGTAAAAAAATCCATTCGTTTAAAGGTACCATTTAAATCTCTTACATTTAGTGGTATTAGAAAGGTTATTGGTTTTGTAAAATGTATTATAAGTTTGTCGATCTTAATATTGTTGTGATCTCTCCATATAACCAGATTGATTTGAGTATGAATTTGCTGACACTAAATATTTCTTTTAAAATTCTTTCCATATTTATAAATTAATTTGTGGAGAATTTATGATTAACTGTAAAATCTTTATTAACAAGTTGGCTTAAGAATTCTTATGAGTAAATCTGTGTATTATATGTTCCATATAAAGTAAATTTCTTATTAAATAATGATTCATTCGGTATGCTTATTCATACTTACAACTCATTATATGATTAATACAAGTTTATAACTTAAGTGGAATAAAATCTAAACTTCTTATCATAATTATGAAATACACATGGGGGCATTCACTTATATTTATGTGGTTTTTTGTGTATTATTATTTAGATTACAATATTCATAATTTGTTGTTCATCTTCAAATCACTGATCAATCTTATTTTCTTCAAATCACGTGTTGGAAACTAGAAAAGCAATGGATATGTGCAGACAAATACAATATGCCATTGTACACTTTGTAACTACCCATATTGTAAAATAAGAAAACTTAAGCATCTTTTTATTTATTGTAATCAATTGTTGTGACATTGAACAGATTCTAGGACGCTTCCTTAAGTCCTGATTTTTCTCGTCTTTTTCAATTTTAGTGAATGAGCAAAATACTTTGTTTAGACGTAAATAATTCCCAATAAACATTAATAACATGCATTACGTAAATAATGCTCAATTATTTGCAAGTGGATAATAAACAAAGCATTTGGAAGGTTAAATTTCCCAGTTTACATGTTTTAGAAATCTATATTTATTGTATGACCGATTGGGTGAAACTATAATTTATCGACGAACTAATCAGATTTAGGATAACAAGTTTTCGATTTTGGTGTGAGATTCATTCATCCATTTGGCCAAATAGAGTTTTGGAATTTTAAATTATGTCAGTTCATGATAAACACTATAAATCTAATTCCTAACCCTAACCATCAACTGTAAGTCATAATCTTTGTTCTTCATACATGTTTATAACCCTCGTTTAGCTCTAGTAAATTGGTGGACATGCCAAGATCACTTTAGCATCTCTCAAAGGTCTTCCATAAATTATGTTCACACTACATGTAGTGCTTGCTGCAAGACACGGATATCCTGGTCGAAACTGTACATTTTAATTACTGTACAGTTTTAAGTCCATGTTAACACATGTTGAACATCCATATCGTTTCATGATGAAGATTAACACGAAATATTACCTATCAGTTAAATCTTCATATATAATTTGAAATTATAAATTAGATCGGAATGAATATACTGATAAAGTGAAATTAAAAAAAGCACATATCCATCCGTATTTGTAGGTATCATTACCAAGGTAT